CATAGCTATCTCATCTGCAAAATGAGGAAAGTACCATCTTCTTTGCAGGATATTTGGGAGGGTTAAACAAAATAGTACATGAAATTCCTAGGTACATAATCTGTACTCAACAAATGTCCCATTTAATTTCAAAGATGACTGTATTTCTCCAGCCTCTTAAATGATCTAGGACTTACACTGTCCAGTGTGGAGGCCATTCATTGTGAGTGTCGTTGAACACTAAAATGTGGCTGATCCAGAGTGAGATATGCTGTGAGTATGACAAATACCAGAATTTAAAGGCTACTGTAAAAAAAAAAACAAAGTAACAAGCTCATTAATATTTTTATGTTAACTACATGCTGAAAGAACATTATGGATATACCACGTTAAAGAGAATGTATTAAAATTAACTTCATGCTTTAGTTTAATGTAGGAATTTTTACTAGGAATTTTTAAATTACAAATGTGGCTCGCATTATATTTCAATTGGGTAGTGCTAATCTAGACAATGAAACAACCCAAAGATCTGAAATGGAGATGAAGGTCTAGCTGTCCACACTGGAAAAGCAACCAGGGCACAGAAGTAACTAACTGTTCACCCTATGAAACATTTTAGCAAGGAACTAAGATAAGACAGAGTCAACTTTGACACTTTTTGCCAAGAAAAATTGGAATTACAACGTCTGAGTAGAATTTTACTTTACTTTTAAGTACCTATAAGATGTCTTTTTCGTCTCTCAAATGACTCTTTTTTATTACGTAATTTATCTCAACTTCCTTAAGAGGCAAGTTCTGGTAAAAGTATGAATAAACTGACTTGAAAAGTTTATTCAATAAGTAGTTAATAATGAAACCTTACTATTTGCAACAACATGGATGGAACTAGAGTCAAAGAAAGACAAATATCATGATTTCACTTATGTGTGGAATCTCATGAACAAAATGAACAAACAAAAACCAAAAACAGAGAGAACTAGTGTTTGCCACTAGATGGGAAGGAGAGCTGGCAGCCTGGGTGAAAAAAGTGAAAGGATTAAGAAGTACAAATTGGCAGTTACAAAACACAAAATAGTCGCAGTGATGTGAAGTACAGCATAGAAAATGCAGTCAATAATATTGTCGTAACTATGAATAGTGCCAAGTGGGTACTAGACTAATTGGGGAGACCACTTTTTAAATTATATAAATGTCTAACCACTATGTGGTACACGCAAAACTAATATTAATATTGTCAATTCATTGAAATTTTTTTAAAAAACTTTACATAAATGGAAAAAATAAGTAGTCAATAAACATTGTCATTATCTGCCATTACCAGCTTACCAATGAGTCAGTAATACAAAACATAACTAGCTAAGAAGAAAGACTGCTGTGTGGTCTCAAACTCCTTCAGTGCAAAGTTGTATTAAAAGGCTTAACTATCAGTCTGAATCTAGGGTGAAGATAACACCTGGGTGGGGCATGCCACCTCCAAGGGAAAAGACTAAAGAAACACTTTTGTCTTTATTTAAATTAATTCTTAAGCCTGCATAAACAAGTTTTAAGTTTCCATGTAAGCATGTTTTAATTGTTTTAATAGTATTTTGAAATATTCTTTCGGGTGAAATCTCAATCATAACCTTGCCTAAAAATCTAGAAGAGAATTGAGCATTAGGGCCAAGAACTATAATAAAAGTTTATCCTTCAGAAATACACAGGAAAGATGAATGTTTTACAAACACGTAAGGCAATTTCTTTTCCAAAACCTCACCCTAACTCGCTAAATCGGCCCAACTGATTATAATACTGGAGAGCCCACGCGAACATCTTTCTATATTCTCTCAACTTTTAAAGAGAGAAAATTAAAATATCACTCGCACACAATTGGAAATCAACACCTTTTGCAGAGAGTCTCAAGATGAGCTTCCAGAGTTCCCACTTGCACAGAGCAGCCCCAGAATGCCTCTGGCCAGTGCCAAACCAGAGGTTACTCGAGGGAAAGCTGGAAGGTAACTGCAAATGTCTGAGGTTTTCAACTTTTATTTCCTATTCCAGCAGCTTTTCTTTCACATCCTCTTTCAAAAGTCCAAAGCAGGAAATCATGAGCACCTCACATCTGTCTCAGTTTACCATGTACCCAGAAATGTGGTCACTGTCAACAATACAAAAAAGAAAAGCCAAAGTGTTTATCCCATGAAGTTTCTATGTTCCTGTCGGGGGGAAAGAAAACACAACAGGTACAGGCAGTCACAGGACTGGAAAAGAGCGCTCTCATATACTGCTACTGGGCAAAGGCAAAGTAATAATATGTCTCTGGAGACAATTGGGCAGTGAGGTGTTCAAAACCTTTAAAAGCCCCTTTGACCTAGTAGTGTATTTCTTCTTAAAAGATAATCAACAATGAAGGATTTTGTTCAGAATTGTCTATCACACAGTTTACAACAGTGAAAACTTAGAAACGGCCTCCACATCCAAAAATGGGAAATCTCCAGGAACTATGAGGCAAACTTTAAAAATAAGTAGACAAATATTTAACATGAGAAAAGTCACAAATTTAGTCAAAGCATGTTATAAAACATTATGCATACTATGATGTCATGGATATTTTTAAAGCATATTTACATGTGTGCAAAGAGGAGAGAAAGAAAAATATATAGTAATTTTAACACATCTCTAAATGTAGCATTTTACAATTTTTTTCTTATATTTATTTTACGTAGTGTATATGGGGTACTGGGTAAACTTTTTTTAAAAAAATACAATGGTTGAAACTACAAAAAAAGGATAACTATAATAGCTACTATCTACTTAGCACCTAAAACATGTGAGGCACTGTTCTAAAAATAAATGCAAACTGTATACTACTCCTTTAAAATTAAAGCTTTCATAATCATATCCTATTTTCCACAGCTAATTAAGATGTGAATGCATTAAAATGATAACGTAATCATGATGTTCAGTTCCTCTTTTCCTTTAAAAAGTCTTAGGAGAGTTTAACATGGTGGTAAACAAGAAAATACATATACCAAAAATGGACAGTCTATCACAAACAATTCACTCTGAACTGCTGGGAAAATAGCACATTGACAATAACGGTAAAACAAAAGCTAATCTAGAATTCAAGTTACCAGTTTTAAGTTTTGTTTGTAATTTCAAAAGCTTTCTTGTCAGTCTTTCAGAATTCTGTGAAAATGAAATGTGTAAAACCTAGAATGCATTTCAAAAGTGCCAAGGTCCTTCCCTCCTCACTCCCTTTCTATGTATTTTTCTTTAAAATCACTGGGAATTATTGCACTGTGATCCAAGTGCAAGGCTGTCTTTTGTGGAAAAGGCCTGTCCCTTCTTACCATGGATTAGAACAAGCCTCGAAGCCCAAACTGGGTCCATACCACACAAGTTTCTTTTTCAAGGTAACTTTCTAAAAATCAGAGTGACATAAACAATTTGAGATTTTTGATATGCTGGTTTTTTTTAATTTTTATTATCTCTAATGTAATCAGGAGTTTTAAGTGTGACTTATAACTGACCCTGAAAGAATGCTAGCAAAATTCGCCTCTATTTTAAGCTGAAAGCCTACTATGTGCCAAGTACTGTTCTAGATGCTTGACGTATGTTAATGAACTCAAAAACATCTTTAAATAAATTCTTAATTATTAAAAAAGGTCACTACATTAAATTTCAACAGCAACCTTTGGAAAACCAATGAGTGTTAAAATTTTTTAACACTTTAAAACACTGTCTTAAAAAGTTTTACACTGAAGTTGTCAGGTCACAATTTGTGCAAACTAAATTTCAAATTTACTATAATAATGCCTCATTAGTTTGAAGAGGATAATAAAATCCCACAACAAAGGTTATAAAAAGCAAAAACTGCTACAAGCAAAGCATATTATCACAGCCAAATAAGGAAGTTCAATGATAAAAATGACAAAACTCATCTGGCAGAAGAAAAAGCTCTTCTGAAACAATGTCTCCCACACTTAAACGGCCCTATGGTCTTTGAAATCGCCACTAAGCATTTTCAATTATCTGTACATGATTTCCTCACAGACATCAAATACTACCAAAAATAAAATATCCAAGAGTTTACAACCATTCATAAACACAGTACTTTCATCTATAGGACTTCCTACACGTCTAATTTCAATTAACAGTTAAATTGTCGTTATAATCTTCCTAAGAAACCTACACTAAGATACTATCCTTCTGGAACAGAAAACCTTTGTGGGACCATTTTATATAACAGGTTCTGTCAGAGATGCTTACTTACACTCTATCTAGGAGCTTAGTACAAAACTCACATCTCAGATAAATAACAAAGGCTATGAGTAGTAAAGTAGGCAAGGGGGCAGAAAAGGCAAGAATTACACCGACCACAATCACATCAGCCTATAATTCCCAAGCATTACAAGAAACCACACATATTAAGATGAAAAAAAAAAAATGAAAATGAGAGCACTGCCACTGGAAGACTTTACTTGGTACAGTGACAAAACCTTAAGCAACAAAGAAAAGACACGGCACAATGTGCTCCCCAAAGCATAGGTTTGTGTGTCTCTAACCTAAACATCAAATGTTGCGGGTAAAAATCACCTAATACTGGCCTAAGAAAGAAAAAAACACACAGGAGTCAGGCTGGAAAGATTTGGAAACCATTTTATCTCTGCTCGGCTGTGTCTTATCACCTTCTGAGGATCCTGACCAGACCTGGATGCAGGTCCTCGGAGAACCCCTAAAAGCAGAGTTAAAGCCAAGAAATCACATCGCATTCGTGACAAACGGCTGCCAAATATGTGTACCACCTGTATCACATTTTCTTATTACAAAGAGACCAAAGTTTAGGGCTCCATAGAGCGGCTTATCCCTTCCCTGGGAGCGGCCCGCGAACCAGGTCTATGGGCACCGCTGCTTCTCGCCGCTGCCCTGGGCCGACCGCCTTGAGCCCACGCTGGTCCCTCGAGCCCCTGCCAACGCCCGCGCCCGCGCCCCCGCCCGCCCAGTGGTCTCGCGCCCCTACCGACCCTTTATGAACCGCTTACCTCCAGACGCAAGGAGGCCCCACAGCCTCGCAGGAACTCGCGGATGTTGCTCAGGCACTCACTCTCGCTCCGGGGCTCCGGGTAGACCTGCAACATAGAGCACAGGCACTGAGCGAGGGCGGGGAGGCCGAAGACACGCCACCAAGCGAACCCGCAGCAGCCCCAGCGGGAGGCCCTAGTGGGAGGCCCTAGCGGGCGAATCCGGGCGGGCGAACCCGGCGGTCCAGAGCGCCCCCGGCCGTCCCCGGCGCTCGTCAGCTCCGCCGCCGCCGCCGTCCCTCCTCACCTTTTCCTTCCTCCAGGCTGCACCAATCTCAGGCCCCTTCCCTCACTAGGAAGCGGACCAGCGCCGGAAGTGGCGTAATCCGACCGCGCCCCGGACAGCCCCCCCGCGCAACCTTTTCCGGTCCTCGGCCTCCCCCGGCTAGATGCGACCCACCTGGACACGCGCAACCTCCTCCTCACCGCACCTCATTTTCATCCGCTGACGCGGCCCACCTGGCCCGACCCACGCTCAGCCTCCTGCTTCTGGCACCTGGTCCTCATCCTCAAACGCGGCTCAAGTGGCCCTACGTGCCTTCCTCCTCCCCGCAGCTGGTCCTTATCCTCGGACACGGCTCACCTGGCCCGACCCACGCGCCTTCTCCCTGCACCTGGTCCTCATCCTCGGACGCAGCCCACCTGGCCCAGCCCATGCGCGCCCTTCTCTTCCAGGCACCTGATGCCCCACCTCGGACGCTGCAGCTGCAGACGCACCGGCCCCAACTAGAGCGGCCCGAGAGAGCTCTGCCTCCGTGGTTTGAGCAACACCATAGAGGCTGGAGAGCATCCGGTGTTTATTTACTTTTTCTCTACCCCTGCTCAGGGGAGAGTGGAGCTACCATTCAAACACGATGATGTAAAATAATTAGCAACATAAGTTTTTCATGTTGGGATTAAAGTGCAATGTTTTCTTTTCCCAAATACAGACCGTATGCTTCATGAATGATTAACCAAAATAGTCAGTGAATAAGTCATCTGGGGAGAAATTGTGGTGAATGACCCTCAACCATAGGTGAAGAGCAGCAAGGATGGCCCTGCAGACTGCCTGGTGTTTGGTCCAAGGTAGAACTGTGAGGGTCACCGCCACACGTGTAAGGAGTTATTGACAGCCTCTCAAGGCAAGAAACATTAAGGAAACCAGGAAGAGTACCAATTGTATGGAACAATCAAGGGAAAAGCCTTGACGGACATCAGAAGAGCTTTCTGTTGTGTTGTTTGAACTGTACATGAAGATTTATCTTTTACACTAAAGCATCCAGAATTCTAGCATCTTAAGGATATTCAAGGCTTTTTCGTCCTGTCCTCTGGGGGGAATCAGGGCATTCCATCAGGCCTCTCAGGAATACTGTGGTTTCATTTCAAAGTACTCAGGTTTTTTACAACTACAAATCAAAACCAGGGTGTTCAGAAGTGTGAAGAGGGAGGAAATGACTTTTCCTACATTTGAAAAATTCTTCGAAGAAAGTGCCAACATATTTCCCTAAAAATTAAACAGATAAGTTTTGGTTTGGGGGGTTTTTTGTTTCTAGCAAAACCAAAGCTGCCTTGTAGTCCATTTTGCACCTCTCCCTAAAAGAATTTTGAAAAGCTTTTTACCAAAAATATAGTTAACATCTAAGTCTTCATCATTTTCAATAGTTGCAAAGTATTCTCTGACATCCTGATAATGACATTTTAAAACTAAATTATTAATCTTTTTAAAAAATATATGCAATAGACTACAGTATAGTACCCATTCTCCATCTGAGGCTCTTCCTTTAAAGATCAGAAATTTCACATTGTTTTTAACTCATTTACATTCCACTTTCCCCACAAAATTGTATTCTAAGTATATATTTGCGCTTAAAAAATTACTAATCACTATTTTGCAAGAGATCCATATAAATACAGTTAATCTTCATTCACTGATTCTATATTTGCAAATTTGCCTGCTCAATAAAATGTATATGTAACCCCGAAATCAGTACTTATGACACTCATTTATCGACATGTGCATAGCAGCAAAAAATTTGAACAGTCTTATGCCCAAGTTCCCAGCTGAACTTGAACAAGGCCATGCTCTGCCATCTTATTTTAGCTCATAATGTAAACAAATACCCTTTTTGCAGTCTTCTAGTGCCCAATTTTTTAACATTTTTGTCCTTTTTGTTGGTGATTTCACTGTTTTAAGTGGCCCCCAAACGTAGTGCTAAAGCACTGTCTAGCATTCCTAAATGCAAGAAGTCTGCAATGTGTCTTACAGAGAAAATGTGTGTTAGATGAGCTTCATTCAGGCCTGAGTTATAGTGCTGTTGGCCATGAATTCAATGTTAATGAATCAACAATATGGTATATCCAAAAAAAAAAAAAAAAGGAAGAAGAGATTCACACTCTGTACATGAGGCCACTCCGGAAAGTGCTAAAGTAACATCTACAGTGCGTGATGCAGCTATGGAAAAGATGGAAAGGCAGCAAAATTTGTGGATTCATGAGATGACAACTGATAAAAAGAGAAGAGTGGACACCATTATTGTGAGGCTGAAAGCCAAAGAAATGTATGGTCATGTTACTCCGGGTCAAGAAAATGTTAAACCCTTCTCAGCTAGTGCAGGCTGGCACGCACATTTCAAAAGGCGATACCACATGAAAAATATTAAGCTTACAGGCAAGACAGGTTCTGCAGATCAAGAGGCTGCAGAAGAATTTAAAAAATACCTGATAAGCATTATACATGAAGAGAGTTATATGGAAGAGCAGGTTTTCAATGCTGATGAGACTGGCTTGTTTTACAAGAATGTTGGCAAATGAATCTATGTGATGCAAATGGCCACCAAAGCTCCTGCCTTTAAATCAAAGACCATGCAACCTTGCTATTATGTGTCAGTGCAAGGGCAACTTTAAGTGCAAACCCCTAATGGTACACAGAGCACAAAACCCACAAACACTTAGATGGAAAAACCTAAACCATATGCCAGTCCATTGGAGGTGGAACAAAAAAGTATGGATAGCATCCAAAATATTCTGGGATTGATTCCACAACTGCTTCATCCCAGAAGTTGAACACTACCTACATGGCAAAAACCTTGCCTTCAGGGTTTTATTTTTGGATAATGCCCCAGTTCATTGCCACGAAGAACTTGAAAATGCCCACTCCAACATAGAAGTTCTCTTCATGCCCCAAACACTGCATGTCTCATCCAACCCCTCAATCAGGGCATAATAAAAGCTTTCAAGGCACACTACACCAGGGAGCTTTATAGCAATGATTTCAAGGCTCTTAATGCCAACAAGGAAACCACCATGATGGACTGCTGGAAGTCAGTCACTACTCGCAATGTTATTGATTATATTGGCACAGCATGCGACAGCATCAGCAGGCTACTATCAATAACTGTTGGGGAAACGTTTGGCAGGCTGTGTGAAAATTTTTGAAGACTTTGAAGGTGTTACAGAAAATATAAAGAACAATGTCAAAAACATAATGCATATTGCACAGCAAGTGGAAAAGGTTTCAATGACATGAAGGAAGGAGGGTGGAGGAAATTTTGACAGAAACAGCACTAGAACCCACCAACAAAGACCTGGAGGAGACGGCAAAACATGGCATTGGAGTCAGCGATGACAAGGACAGTGATAAAAGTCAGCCTAAGACTCCAAGAACTCCCTCTCACAGCAGCCAAAATATTAGAATGGAATTCTGCCTTGGAAAAAAAATTCAATAACATGGAAGAGTGTGACCCTAATCTTGAAAGCAGCCTCACGTTAAGCACCTAACCTCCCCTGCATGCATCCCTTATGCTGAGATACTCAAAGATTTGAGGTGAAAAGCCGAGCAAAGCTGAAGAAATTTTTTAAGCCAGTTTAAGAGAAAAAGTTGCCGATACCATCAACATGTCATGAAAACCAAACTCCCGAGGTAGAACTGCCAGATCTCATATGCCACCCTCACTGATGTCTTCTTTTTCTGCCAAATAAGTTATCTCACTCTCTTGGTTTTTATGAAGCAAGCCAAGGTCAAGAGGTTTAACCACACTAGCTGCACTGTCCCATCACACACTGTCCCATGAAAGAAGTTTTATGGAAGAAGTTTTATGATATGGATTCTTTGAAATCTTCTGAGTTACATAGCCAAAGTCCAGATATACTCTATCATAAATAACAAATTTTTAAATCATCAGTTAACAGCTTGATTAGGATCTTCTGCAATTCTGTGAAAGCTAAAAAGAAACCCCTGAACTGCAAAATTCCAGTCATGGATATTTCTAATTGTCCCTTTGTTACAAGGCCTGGAGGTTTTTGTTTTCCATCTTGCAGCAGTGTACCTCAGGAAGAAAACAAATGGGTGAATGGTCTACCCTTTTACATGCAGTAGGAGACTGGCCTTTGTAAAAGGGAAGGTGGGACAGCTGAAGCAGCATGATGTCTTGCTTGATCACAGGAACCTCCTTAGGTTAGTCGATTATAAGTAAGCGCATATGCAAGTTGAGGATCTGGAAATGGATTCCCTTAAAACTATCACATGCCTTCAAAAGTCATCATGTACACAGGTGCATGTAGCTAGCTAGTTCAAAGAACATTGTACCTAAAACAACACTTGTTTGGAAAACTGTAATATAAAAAAGTCAAAACTTTATAGTACATAGTCCCTGACTTTGTAACATACATGCTGACCTTTGACAAGTTGTCTGACCCCTCTGGGTCTGTGCCTTAGTCCCCAATTTAAAGCTAACATGTTCAGCCTTTCTCAGAGCTGTTGGAGCACATGGATAATAAATTAATTCAACAATATTGGACCTGGATTCCATGTAAGATGATATGATAAGCATCATGATTGCAAAGAAGAATGAGACAAGGTCCCTACCCTCAGTGAGGCAGGGAATTTTGCACACAACGTGGCAAGTACAACCACACAGATGTACACTCAGGACCATGAAGTGCAGAGAAAAGAAACATTCTATAGACATAGGGCAGAGACAGAGGCTTAACCAACCCAAAAGGTGACATCTGAGTTGGGGCTGAAAGAGTGAAGAGGCAGATGGCACTTCATTTTCAAAGGTGTGACATTC